CTACTACTACTACTACTACTACTACTACTACTACTACTACTACTACTACTACTACTACTACTAATAATAATAATAATAATAATAATAATAATAATAATAATAATAATACTTCCTTTAACGAGCCTTCCCCCCATCCTGGCATTTTTTGCACTTGCATAAATCCAACTTTCTGTTTGCAACATTTTGGTAGGTTTAATAATGGTAAAGCAATGCAGTAGCTGATATTTCTTCAGAAACTAGCTGCAGCCCAGAGATAGACAGGGCGCTTTTAACTCAGCAGGTTTACATTTTTATGTTTCTTGTCTCTGTGTTTCTGAGATGTTTCCCAGACAATTGGGGGTGGGTGGGGGTGGGGCGGTTTGGAAGCATGGCAGCATTCTCAATTCATCGCGTGATTTTAAGATACAGTCCCCCACTATTGAACTGCCAAGAAATACACAGCTATACCCATTTGTAGCCACATCTGTCCTGAAACATCTAGTGCAATCAAGGAACCGTCAGATGTTGATGAACAACTGTTCTAACCATGATTCCTTTGGCCAGATTGGGGGGAGGGGAGGGGTAAACAAATAAATAAAATGAATAAAGTTGGCTATGGTGATGGGAGCTGGAGATCAGCCCACATCTAGAGGGCCACGGGTTGCCCAATCTGGCAATTAAGGATCTCAAAGTGACTAGTGTGACTTGGGACATCAATCCAACATGGAAGCATTATTGTTACTTTTATTGTTCCTAGCCACTATTGCACAGCTAACAATAGAGTAGCATCAGGTGGGAAAAGAGGGGGGGCTTACTGAGAGAGGATACAGTTTGCCAGTTCTCCTCCATGACTTCCCTGTGCAAGGCCCTCTGGTCAGGATCCAGCAATGTCCACTCCTCCCAAGTAAAATATACAGCCACCTCCTCAAAAGTCACTGGACCCTAAATGACAAAGAAAGCTGAGCTTCATCATAGGATTCATAAACATAACATCCTAAATCTAAAACAACAAATAAAGGTCAGTGGCCCCATATTATATTGCAATCTGAGGCAAGGGATGGATCTTGAAGCTATCCTCCTCCAAGCACCATCTATTTTGCCTGAGAGAGGGGAAATAAACAGATAAACAAAGACAGGCACAGCTAAAATAAACAGAAAAGGAGAGGATGCTTGGTGGAGGAACAGGGGAGAAAGAGACAGAGCTAGAAAGAGCAGGAGATGTCAACATGGAAAGTAGCAGAAGAGTTAGAAAAGGCGGGAAAAGGAAGGAAGGGACTGCACGGTCCGAGGAGATGGGGGGGAAAGAAAGGAAAGGACAGAGAGGGTGGACGCAGAGGAGAGAGGGAGAAAATATAAGGAGGAGGCATCAGGGGATGGAGTCGAATCTGGAGAGGCAGAGGGGGGAAAAGAGAGAAAAGAGTGTGTGCCTGGATACGACTGGATTTGGCTCAAGAACATGTGAACCAATACATGGGCATTGCTTATGGTACTCAAGGACGAAGCAGGAAGGAGAGGGGTGACCGTGCAGAAACCATCTTACTGGGGAGAAAAAGAGACCAGAGAGTGGGGAAGAAAGTACGGTAATGGTAGCTGGAGCTCAGCATACTGAGTGGGCCACAGGTGGCCCAGTCTGGCATTATGGATATCACAGAGGCTAGTGTGAATTGGGACATAATTTCAACATGGAAGCATTCACATTGCTGTCATTGTTATCAGTTATGGCACAGCTAATACTAGAGATGAGCATCAGCTAAAGGGGGCCTTACCAAGAGAGGAGGCTGTTTGCCAGTTCTCCTCCATGACTTCCTGATGCAGCGCCTTCTGGTCGGGATCCAGCAACGCCCACTCCTCCTGTGTGAAGAACACAGCCACCTCCTCAAAGGTCACTGGTCTCTTAATGAAAAAAGAAAGCAGTTATTCTGTATAGGTTTCATGCAGGTAACTTCCTAAATCAAAACAACAAATAAAGAGAAGTGGCCGGAATTTACTTTGTAGGTTTCAACTTTCATGAATGGACTTCACAAGCCTTATTGTTGAAGGGCACATTTGCGAAGGGCTACTAGTCACCTTGGCCATGTGCACCCCCCCAAGGAAGTGAGGTCTCCAAATCCCAGTTTCTGGGGATCAACAGGGAGACCGAAAGGGCTACTGGTGGCCTGCCTGCCTTAGGAGCTTCCCAGAGGCATTTCAGGAGCCTCTGTGAGGAACTAGATCAGTCTTTGGTCTGTCTTCACACAGTTCCTCTGACACGCTTTGCTATCCATGCCAGAAACCAGAGGGAGAAACATCTACTTGGAACAAGGAGAGGACCATGTCATAGCAGTCTTCTCTATAAGCATTAAAAATGTGGAGCATTTCATGAAAAAGAAATGGCCCGATTAAGTCAGGACCAAAATGGTTGAATACACAAGGACTAGAAATACACAGGGTGTCTTTTCACTGCCTTCTCTGTACCTGATCTGGTTCTGATCCCTCACAAAAAAGACAGGATGGAATATTTGTTGCTGGCATCCTTCTGGCCCCTGCAGGAGAGACAAAGGGGCGGGAAGCCAATCAGAAAATCTTTTTTGAGAATAAGATCATAATCAGAAAAAGGGCTTGCTAAAAACTATGCCCTTTAAACACAAAAGGATTCACATCCTGGTAAAAGGCAGTGGTTCTTAAGAGTGAAAACTGTGCCCCCACCAGAGAGTGTGTCCAAATGAAACTCCAAGAGGGGGACAAGACTGTGAGATATTTTAACTGACTATGGACATTTCTGCAATAGTTCGCAAGGCTAAACCTCAGGATTTCTCCAGTATGTCAAATAATATTTTTCACTATTTTAGAGCAGCCTGGAGACCACCAATAGAGAAATACAGAACACAATAACCTACCATTTCCCACACTTTTTGGGGGAAATACAAAAAAATGAAGCAAGTTTTCACCTAATTCATTTGACTGCATTTTCTTCAAAATGGACATGAAATCTGTCCCTTCAAAATGGACGTGAAATTCCGCCCCCCTCCATTTATTTCCATTGGTGCTGAATGTCTAAGAACACAGAAGTCTCCCCATGCTCTGAGATAATTGCCTTTTTGTGTGGTTGATGCTTCCTCTGCCTGCCTCTACACTTTTTCCATCAGTAATTCTTCGGATCTTTTTAATTATTAAGCCAATTATTTCAAATGGAGAAAGGTCTTTCTCATTTTACTAACTTTTTGTTTACAGGGGGAAAAAAGCTGGGGTGTTAATTTTTCATTTTGAATTACAAACTGATTTGTTTTTCCTTTAAACATTTCTGGATGGTAGGAAAGGAAACATGGGGAAGAATGAACATTCCTGAAGAATTAAAAGGGGTTGTGATGATGCCAAAACATTTTGGGACCAATGAGTTAGGGTGATTCCATTCTGGTCCCCACTGAATGATGAGACCTACCGGGTGACGTTGAGCCATTCACTCTGTCTCTGCCTGAACCACCTCAAAGGGTAGCTGAAGTGAGGATAAGGTGATTAGGAAGACATCTTGAGCATCTCAGAAGAAATGTAGGACATAAATATAATTGACAAACAAATACGTACAGTGGTGCCTCGCATAGCGATCGCTCCGTTGAGCAACGAAATCGCTTAGCGACGTTTTTGCGATCGCAAAAGCGATCGCTTTGCGATGGTCCCTATGGGGTTTTTTCGCTTTGCGATGACCGCGGGGAAGCAATCATGGCAAAGCGACCCTTTTTTAACAGCTGATCAGCAGTTTCAAAATGGCCGCCGGGAAAACAAATGGCCACCCGCTGTTTTTCCTCGCTTAAGAGGCAGCGAAAATGGCGACACTATGGAGGATTTTCGCTTAAAGGTGAGTTTTTAAGCCCATAGGAATGCATTAATCGCATTTTAATGCGTTTTTATGGGCTTTTTAATATCGCTTAGCGATGAAATCGCTTAGCAATGTTTTTTCCGGAATGGATTAACGTCGCTAAGCGAGGCACCACTGTACCAAACATTGAAGCCTCCAAGTTAAATACGGATGTGCATCAGAATCTCTCTTATCCTGTATTTATACATCAAAGGATTTCATCTCCAAATGGGTCGAAATGCATCTCCTCACATTTGTCCTCCTGGACACAAATGGAGAAACTGCCTGCTAGGTAAAAAGTCTTGGAAAACTAAAAATCAAGAGACAGGTTTGAAGTACATAAAGAGCTAAAGACTACTAGCCACTGCTCCCCACAAGCCTCAAAGAGTCAAGGAACAAAAACCCAATGAACCCTTCTTTCGATGTATTCTCAAAGGCTTTTACGGCCAAGATCCAACCGTTTTAGGTTTTTTGGGCTGTTTGGCCATGTTCTGGAGCCCTCCTTTCCTTTCACACAATGAAAAAACCCTAGTATAAATACTTACCTACTGTGATGGGACCTCCTCCATTGTACTGCTAGATCTCTCCTTGCTGGTTGAATACACAAGGACTCGGTTTAGTTTCAAACAGAGACTTCTCTGTCATGGGACAATCAGACTGAGCTTCCAGAGAACGCTTCCTCTTCTGAGGATCTAAGACATCGAATAAAAAGATGTGGAGGGGAAACAGAAGCCAAGATGTCAGTGGATGAGGCTTGGACTCGTGACATATGGGATATCATGTTCAGATTTTTTTCAAGAAAAAAAATGGGGAATTCATAAAATGTTGAAGGATTTCCTCCCTCATTTTCTTAACCATTCCCAGCAGCCATGGACAACCTCAACAGCATGCATTATCATTAAAACTGAAACCACAGGTATGTCAACCCTCAGTCAAAAAAGTGTGATTGATTCTAAAATGCTACGGAAGGAACCAATGAAGCATAACAGAGAACTTGAAAACTTCCACTCTCTTGTGGCATTTTGGTTCATCTCAGTACAGGTATTGAGGTGCAGTAACTCCTATTTCTTTAGGAATCTGAGAACCGTTCGCTCTTCAGATGTTGATGGGTGACTATTCTCTTCAGGATTCCACATCAGCAAAGATCACTACAGAAATGGGAGTAACAACAAAGGATACCCATCCAGAGTGGCCTTGGCTGTCAGATGGGCAGTACAGAAATCAAATAAATCAACACCCACAAGTTGCCCAGTCCGGCATTATAGAGCCCACAGTGGGCTAGTGTGAGTTGGGACATTATTGGACTGGTAAAGAGAGGTCACAATCACAGAAAACATTTTTTGCCAAGGCTAAACTTCCCTTAGCAACATCTACACTCTTTTTTTCCCCTGACATATCCTTAACCTACCCTGCTTTGAAAACATCTGGTTCTCTTTACTGCTCCTAAATAGAAAGAATCTAGTTGGACCTTTCTGAGGGGACTGGGTTAAAAGAAATAAATGCAAGAAATCAAAAACAGGTCCTCATGATTTCATATGATTTTTCACATGAGATCCTCCCCAACACACCCTCATATTATCATTCAAAACTCTTCCATTTCTTGTCAAAAGACGACAGAAATCATGGATCCCGCAGCACATGGCTTTGCGGGGAGACAAAAACGTACAAGAATGGGATGATCCCAAACTGCAAAAAGCCAGGAAGGATCTCCAGGGCTTTCCTGCTTTCTCAGGCAGGAGATTCCTTGGCCAAGAGGCCAAATGAGGGTCTCTGCTCCGCCCAGGGTGGATCCTGCCAAGAGGCAGCTGGAGAAGCCACACTCCCTTCACAGGAGGGTTTGGGGCAGACCAAGACATTCTGCCGCCTGAGGCAAAGGACAGACCTCTCCCGCCCTTTCCCTGCGGACACGAATACTTCAGACAAATAAATTAATTTTTTTAATTTTAACACTAGAGGCGGGGCCCTGTTTTTAATTGGCTCCAACGAAGAGCAACAGGACAGCCCAGCAGGCCCACCCAGAAAAAGGCCTGGGGGCTCAAGGAGAGAAACTTGGGGGCCACCAGTGCCCCCCCCTCCAGCCCCTTCCTTCTCACTATTCCCACGGTTTCTGGTTCTCCACCCCGAGCCTGAAGGCTTAAAGAGGGAAACTTGGGGGCCACCAGTGCTCCCCCCCTCCAGCCCCTGCCGACTATGGCTGCCTTCTCATGATTCCCAGGGTTTCTGGTTCTCCACCCCGAGCCTGAAGGGCCAGGAATCCCGGACACAAAAACCGACACGCTGACACGCTCCCTCCCGTTCACGGAACGGTCCCCACGTGCTTTGCTCAGCAGATTCAGCTGCAAATATTTCCAATTATTTCCAAGAAATCAAAGGGAAGGGGATGGCATCGGGAGCCACAGTTTTCCCCCTTCCTCCTTTCTCACCAGGAGACCCTTCTTCTTCCTGGCTTTCCTGCCCAGAAATGGCTCCGCTTTTTCTTCCCTTTTCCTCCTTCTTCTTATTTTCCCTGTTTTATCGTTCCCAGCAAAACTGGGAGGCAAGAATACTCACGTTTTTAATTCTCTCTCTCTCTCTTTAGTAAACAAGTTGCTGTTTCTAAAGAGTCATTATTAAAGTTGCTGAGCTTTTCTCCTTCTGGGGCGGGGTGAGAAGACGCACGTGCCTATTTTTTTAATAGGAAAAAAGAAGTTAAACATTTTTTTCCTTATCACGTGACTGAAGCCGAGCCAGGCTCCTGGCAGGAAAATCACAGACTCGCCCAATCTCTTTTCGGAGCGCATGGATGAGCAGTCTTGGTATCTGCCTGTTTGGTTGTTGTGTCAGGCAGAAAAGTGAACAGTTGGACAGTGTTACTTAGCGTGGGTTGCAGATCTTTGTGTTGTTAGTGGGGGGTTTTTAGTGGGTGGGGAGTGTTTAGGGATTTTTTAAATTTGTGTGCATGTGGGTCTGGTCTCTGAGTGCCTGTGTGAATTTTGTTGTATATGTATATATACTTTCGCTTACCGATCTTCGCTTTGCGATGCCCGCAGATCAGCTGTTCATCGGTTCTAAAATGGCCGCTGGACGCCCGAAATGGCTGCGCGCAACGTTTTCGCGCCCTCCCCTCGCTTACCGAGGGCACGAAAATGGCTGCCGCTATGGAGGAAAGGCTGAACGGTAAGTTTAGGGCCCATTGGAATGCATTAAACGATGTTTAATGCGTTCCAATGGGTTTTTATGTTCCGTTTAGCGATGTTTTCACATAGCGAGGGTTAATCCGGAATGGATTAACCTCGCTATGCGAGGCACCACTGTATGTATGTATGTATGTATGTACGTACGTACGTATGTACGTATGTACGTATGTATATGTATATGTATATATATGTATGTATATATTTTCAATGACAATAAATTGATTTGATTTGATTGAAAAGGAACTGATTTAAAAGCAGGAGGTGCCAGGGAGAGATGTCATCCACAGCTGTTAATTTTTTTCTGTCTGTGTCTACTCCTCTATTTCCTGTGCTAAAATAATCCTACTTCCTGAGATTACAGGAATGCCTTGGATTTCTTCTTTGGCATGGTCTCTTCTTGGTACTGGAAATTTCCGCAGTGCCTTCAGTGTGCTTCACAAAAAATACAAGAGAACAGGTCCCTGCCCCAAGGAGGCCACAGAGAACACTAAATGGGTTGGTGGAACTGAATGGCAGAGCGCATCCTTTCCACACAGAAGATCCCAGATAAATAGGGGCATCTTGAATCAAAAAGGTCAGACTCTCCATCGTGAAACAGACAATCTTCTGCCTAGAAACAAAAAAAACTGGATATGGAATCCTTCCATGGAAACAAAATACCACCCTCCCATACTTTATGGGAGCACTAAAAAAAAAGACGTGCCATGAGAGCTTTTGAATCCTGAACCATGGTTCTGGTTCAGTAAGTGCCTAGGCGCTGTGGGCTAAACCGCAGAAGCCTCTGTGCTGCAGGGTCAGAAGACCAGCAGGCGTAAGATCGAATCCATGCAACAGAGTGAGCTCCTGTCACTTTGTCCCAGCTCCTTGCCAACCTAGCAGTTTGAAAGCATGGAAATCCGAGTAGATAAATAGATACCACCTCAGTGGGAAGGTAAAACGGCGTTCACTAGTCACGCTGGCCATGTGGCAACGGAAATTGTCTTCGGACAAGCACTGGTTCTACGGCTTGAAAACGGGATGAGCACCGCCCCCTAGAGTCGCACACGATTAGATTAAAATGTCAAGGGGAATCTATGCAGATACTCTCCCTGCAGCTAAGGTCTTATCCTTTCACCATAAAGCACAACTGAGGCTGTGTGGGTTTCAGTTCTCACAAATTTGCCTTGTTAGAAGGAGAACAGTTTTTACTATGTTTGGACAGTGGACTTCTATGTTGTCCGTATGTCAACAATCCAGTGGAAATTTGAAATCTGACTTCAAGAAATTGTGGGAAAACAAAATGGACATTGTATCATTTAACTGCAATTGGAGAAGGCAATAACATGTTTTTCTCCCCCAAATGTAGTGAGTCTATGAAACAGGTTCTGTAGTTGTACACACAGGGAAAGGAGAAATGTATCTCAGAACCAGCTGTGAATATGTGATTGTGAATGATGATTCTTTATCTGTCCTGTGATTACCTATCTGAATCAGTGTTTCTGCAATATCTCGATCATCACAAGTTGAAACTTATCTTCTTTCTCACCCTGGTCTCCAGACCACCCTTATAAAACTAAGGAATGCTTCCCAATAGAGATTTAGCTGAATTTTGTTTGTTTGTTTGTTTGTTTATTTAACTTATATGCCGCCCACTCTACCCAAAGGTCTCTGGGCGACTTACAACAATTAAAATTCAATAAAAAATAAAATGACTAAAATACAATTAAAATTGCCATCAGGACCCACAGTTGATGTTATTTCAATTAAAAGCCTTCTGGAACAGGAAGGTTTTGACTTGGCGTCGAAATGTCATCAAAGTCAGCACCAGACAAATTTCAGTTGGAAGGGCATTCCATAGTCTGGGGGCAGCTGCCGAAAAGGCCCTTGGTCTACAAGCCTCTTACATCCTTGAGGGACGGCTCTTTCAAAAGGGCCCCCTGGCTAGATCTTAACTGCCAGGTAGGCTCATATTTTAATTTTAATCCCTTTGTGATCATCTTCATAGTAAAATTGGTGTGATAATGATTATTTTTAGAGTTATAAATGGATAACATGTTTGGTGCACAGGCTCAGCAAAATTAAAGACCAGACTGAGGCAAAATGGTATGTATAATGTGATGGGCAGGTTTTCCACTGCCCATCAATGTGGGGAGTGTTACCAGACTGGCCAGGTTTGAAAAACACCCGTGTATGCCGCAGCCAAGGATGAACAGAGATTGAAACATTGGCAGAGAATAAATGCTTCAGAAATCTAAAGGTGAGCCATGGCCCAAGAGGAAATACAGGTATTTTTTCCCTCCCAAATTGAAAGTAATCTGTCTTTTTCAGTTCTGCCTTGAGGGACTGACAAAAGCCAGTATGGTCCTTGGGACTACACAAGGAAGGACCAGACTAGCAAATCATCTGAATGAAACACTTTATTTGAATATTAATCTTTAAATTATTATAATTTGCCTCGGTATAGAGGCATGCAATACACAAACTGGCCCACTGGCTACAAATGGGACCACTCTGAGCAATAGAATCACCCACTAAAATAAATTGGTCTTTCACACGTGGTGCCCCAAAATTGAACAGGCATTTAGTGACCTCTGACATTCATTTACACTTTGTGTAGCTTGTTGCACTATTCTGACAGAGTTTTCACAGTCGCTGGCAAAAACATTATTCTCTTGTGAAATTTCTTAGGAACTGTGGACAAAAGAAGTTCCTCATCTTTGTCCTATACGTTCTGCCATACCTCAGCCACATTTATTTTATTTATTCTTTCATTTATTCATTCATTTCTGGTACTTCTATACCACCCCATTAGTGCACAGCACTATTCTGAGTGGTTTACATAAAAACAGTAATCACTAAAACATAAAACATCATAACCATAAACAACAACGCCTGAAACCCACATCTATCTACCAGGGAGGTATTTCCCCTCCCAGATATCTTTCTGGTGATAAAAATACAATCACACACTTCATATTCTCCATCCTGGCTCATGGTCAGAGTAAAAAAGATGCCTTATAAAATACAGCTAGAAGCTTTGACCCATGATCCAAAAAGTTAGAGGGCACGAAGTTTTGCTGTTTGAGGGGTCTCATCCTGCCCATTGGCATTTGCTGCTGGAAGGCTGTGAACCTGCTCACCGGAAGCACGGACACCATGTCCAGCCTTTTCTCCTCAGACCTGGCCACGACAGAAATTTGCTTCTCCATAAAGAGAGTTGAGTCCAGAAGCACACCCAGGACGCACATTTGGCCCTTTAAGGCAATGGTCCCCAACCTTGGGTCTCCAGATGTTCTTGGACTTCAACTCCTAGAAATCTTGGCCAGCAGAGGTAGTGGTGAAGGCTTCTGGGAGTTGTAGTCCAAGAACATCTGGAGGCCCAAGGTTGGGAACCACTGCTTTAAGGAAAGTGTAACCCAAACCATAATCCCACCTAAACAGTCAGGTGCCCCTCCCAACAGCAAGATCTCCATATTGTTTGGATTCAATTTCAACCCGCTAGCCCTGACCCAGTCCATTACTGAGGCCAAGCAGCATTCCAGGCTCTGGACAGTCTCCACTGCCAAAGATGTAAAGGAGAGATAAGAGTTGTATGTCATCAGCATATTGATGACACTGGATTCCAAGTCTCTGAATATCCTCAGCCAGCAGTATCATACAGATGTTGAAAAGCATTGGGGAGATGACTGGTCCCTGTGGAACTCCATAATACAGAACCCCGAGGTGACACAGCATCCCGAAGTTGCACCACCTGGATACTACCACTGAGAAAGGACTAGAGCCAGCGCAACACTAATTCTCCATTTCCTAAGCTCAATAGCCTATCCAGAAGATTACCACGGTCAAAGATATTGAGTGTCACTGTGAGATCCAGGAGAATCAACATGGTTACATTCCTGTCGTTGCCTTCCCTTAACAGGTCATTGAGCAGAGTGACCAAAACTATCACATGGTGCAGCCTAAAAGCCAAGTGAATTGAGTCCAGACTATTGCTATCCTGCAAGAATGCCTACAGCTGATCTACCACAATCTGCTCAAACAGTTTGCCCATGAACGGGATATTAGTGGCAGCTCTGTAATTATTTGAATTATCTGTCACTAAGGTGGATTTTTTTTATAATGGGCTGAACAAGACAAGAAGGAATATAATCTTCACGTATCATCTCAGTGGTCCATTAAACTGTTACCTCCTTGGCAGATTTCAGAATGTACAGTATTTATTTATTTGCAGGATTTTTTTAGCTGCATCATTACAACTGGGAGTTAGTGGCCTTACTGCATGCTAGTGCCTTGTCCACACCCTCGGGCGTTACAAGTTGAAACTGATACAGCAAAACCAGACAAGACAGTGCATTGGACATCGCAATACGATCAGCTGCATCACTAAAGGAATCAAGGCCCTGTCTGACGGCTTCAATCTTAGACCGAAAATGAGCTGCAAAGCAGTTACAAGTGATTACATTAGAGTGACATCTATTATACTGTTTGGCAGTAGTGAGAAAGGAAACCAGCAGGTGGCACTCAATGAAGTGCCACCTACCGATCTGAAGCCTCACTAATGATTGAGAATACAGTGGTGCCTCGCACAACGTAAAGCAGTTACAAGTGATTACATCAGACTGACATCTATTATACTGTCTGGCAGTAGTGAGAAAGGAAACTACCGATCTAAAGCCTCACTAATGATTGAGAATAGATACTGCTCCTCTGCTTAATGACAACCTTTCTGGTATCTGAAGAGTAATTACCGTATTTTTCCGATTGGAACGCATTAAACAATTTAATGCGTTCCAATGGGCTTTTCTGCCCCGCTCAGCGATGTTTCACACAGCGAGGGTTAATCCGGGACGGATTAACCTCGCTGTGCGAGGCACCACTGTAGATACTGCTCCTCTGCTTAATGACAACCTTTCTGGTATCTGAAGAGTAATCACGCTTCTTTTCTCAATACTAAGTATGCCCAGTTCTTTCAGTCTTTCCTCCTTCTTTTCTCAATACTAAATATGCCCAGTTCTTTCAGTCTTTCCTCATAGGGCTTGTTTTTTTAGTCTCCTTATTGTCCTTGTTGACTTCCTCTGAAACTTTCTGGTGTCTCACAACATGTGAAATCTGAACTGCAAACAAAACATTTTCATGTTACTGGGATTTGAAGGGTTTATCTCGTGCATGAATTCTCTGGTGCTTCACTAGGTGTGAACTATGAGCAAAACTTTTCCCACACTCATTACATTTGAATGGTTTCTCTCCTGTGTGCACTCTTTGATGGCTCACAAGGTGTGAATTCTGAGCAAAACATTTTCCACATTCCTGACATTTGTATGGTTTTTCTCCTGTGTGGACTCTCTTATGCTTCACAACCTGTGAGCTGTGAGCAAAACATTTCTCACATTCCAGGCATTTGTATGGTTTTTCTCCTGTGTGAACTCTTCTATGCTTCACAAGCTGTGAACTATGGGCAAAACATTTCCCACAGTCCTGGCATTTGTATGGTTTTTCTCCTGTGTGAATTCTCTGATGAGTCACAAGGTGAGAGTTACAAGCAAAACACTTTCCACACTCTTGGCATTTGTATGGTTTCTCTCCTGTGTGGACTCTCTGGTGGATCAGAAGAAGTGAAGTATATGCAAAACATTTCCCACAAAACTGACATTTGTGTGGTTTGTCTCCTGTATGGATTCTCAGATGCTTCATAAGTTGTGAACTATGAGCAAAACATTTCTTACATTCATAGCATTTGTATGTTTTCTCCTCTGTGTGCAATCTCCGATGGATCAGAAGATTTGAAATCTGAGCAAAACATTTCCCACACTCTGGACATTTGTACGGCTTCTCTCCTGTGTGGATTCTCTGATGTTTCATAAGTTGTGAACTGTGAGCAAAACATTTTCCACATTCCTGACATTTATATGTTTTTTCTCCTGTGTGAACAATCTGGTGGATAAGAAGGTTTGAATTCTGAGCAAAACATTTCCCGCACTCCTGACATATGTATGGTTTTTCTCCTGTGTGAATCCTCTGATGAGTCACGAGATGTGAATTACAAGCAAAACATTTCCCACACTCCTGGCATTTATATGGTTTCTCCCCTGTGTGGACTCTTTGGTGGATCAGAAGGAGCGAATTATAAGCAAAACATTTCCCACAATCCTTACATTCATATGGTTTCTCTCCTGTGTGGATTCTTTTATGCTTCAGAAGCTGTGCTTTATGCGCAAAATACTTTCCACACTCATGACACTTACATGTTTTTTCTCCTGTGTGGACTTTCTGGTGGATCACAAGGTTTGAATTCTGAGCAAAACATTTCCCGCACTCCTGGCATTTGTATGGTTTTTCTCTTGTATGGACTCTTTGATGGATCAGAAGGTTTGAATTCTGAGCAAAACCTTTTCCACATGCCTGACACTTGTATGGCTTCTCCCCAGTGTGGACTCTCCGGTGGATCAGAAGAGTTGAATTCTGAGCAAAGCATTTCCCACACTCCTGACATCTGTATGGTTTCTCTCCTGTGTGCACCCTGTGGTGGATAAGAAGGTTTGTGTTTTCAGCAAAACATTTCCCACACTCCTGGCACTTGTATGGTTTCTCTCCTGTGTGGACTCTCTTATGCTTCAGAAACAGTGAGCTATGAGCAAAAGCTTTCCCGCACTCTTGGCATTTGTATGGTTTCTCTCCTTGATGGAATCTCTGACGACTTGTAAGCCGTAACTTGCAATCTGTTTGTTTCCCAGATTTTCTATATCTAAAGCTTTTTTTCCTACTGTGGACTTTCTTGTGAATCAGAAGCGCCATACTCTTGGCAAAATGTTTTCCACATACAGTACATTCATAAAGTGTCTCTGTGGTGGACCTGTCCTCTTCTACATGGGTTTGCTGATGTCTCTGCAGGCCAAATTTGTGCATAAAACATTTCCCACACTTGGTGCACACATTTCTTTTCATCCAGTTATCTGCTAAGAAGAAAGACAGTCACAGGAGACAGTGAATTCCATGGTTTTGACTTATAAAACATATCTATTCATTCCTCCCTCAGAGGTTCCATGTCCTCCTATGTTTTCTAGAGGGAATTGGGTAGGAGTAGCTAGATTTTAGACATTTGACTACATTGGCTTGCCACCAAAGTGAAAAAGCACCAGGCTGTAGAGAAAAAGGTAAGAAAAGGAGAAAGAGAGAGATCCCCCTTTACTTCTTTTTGTTTTCCCCTCCCTTTCCTTTTTTGTCTACCCCTATGGAGAGTGGGGGAAAGGTGAATTTTTGCAAAACACTGCATTGTCTTTTCACTGAAGTGAAACACCACTAATTAGACATAGTCTTAAAAAGAAAAAGAGAGAGACCTCCTTCCTTTCTGATTCCTTTTCTTTTTCTCCATCTTTGGGGAGTGGAAAAGATGATATTTTTTATAAAAAATTGGTTAAGTGACTCCTTATTGTCTCAGTGCGAAACCAAAGTGAAACAGCATTAAATTGTAATGGAAAGAAGAAAAGACTGCCCCCTCTCCCCGTGTTCTTTCCTGTCATCCCATCTGCAAAAAGCAAAAGAAAACTTGATTTCCCCCTGCATTTTTTGGTAAGTGGCATATCACTTCATTGGCTTGCTAATGCCTCTTTGGTTCACGGCCAGAAATGGCACATGCTGGAAAATGAATTAAAACAAAGCAATCCTACTAGCACAGTGGAGAAAACACAATAAGTTATACAGTTTTTAAAAATGAAGCTATAAGCTATAATTAGAATACATTCTATGATTAAAGAACACATAATTTTAAAAAAACTATTTTAACTAAGAAATGGCAGTCAGGTACTCAGTCTTGAGTGTTAAAAAGCCAGCCTGAAAAGGTGGGTCTTCAGCTGACTGCTGGAAGGGTCAGGCTGGTTCGCTATTGCCTGTGCATCACTGTGGTTGCAAAAAAAAAAAGAGCAAGCCAGCCCATCCCCAAACTGATCCAAAGTGCAAAACAAATCCCCATCTGATTGCATCTTTAGTGATAGGAATGTTCTGGGCAAATGCCTTTCGGATTTTTGTTGTGTGTCCAGCTGGCTTACCCAACGCGATGCTTGATTTGGTACCCGAAACTTCTGCTTCACCCTGTTCTGGCAAATCTGGTACCCATGATTCTTCCCCTTGCTCCATTTGAGACACGAGCTCAAGCTTTAGACCTGGAAGAAAAGCTGTAAAAAGCAGCCATGATCAATAGGTAGCAGATGCTGCTGGGTTAGTCTGTTTGGTTGTCTGCGGACCTAAGGGGGAAGTGAAGGCAATTAATCTGCTTGGCCCAAAATTGTCGGATACTTTGATTTGGATTCCAGCGCTGAGCAGGGGGTTGGACTCAATGGACCTATAGCCTCTTTCCAGCTCCATTCTTCTAGGATTCCACGGTTACCTGTTCCATTTTTAATCATGGTTTATCAAATTTGAGTCTTGGAGAAGTGCCAGAAACTCAATTCTCAGGTTGTCCTCACTACCAGAGAGAGCTGAGAGCTTTAAAAAAAGGATTGATTTTAAGATTCTGTCTATCAAGGTGAAAAGGGACGTGGTGGCGCTGTGGGCTAAACCGCAGAAGCCTGTGCTGCAGGGTCAGAAGACCAAGCAGTCGTAAGATTGAATCCACGCGACGGAGTGAGCTCCCGTCGCTTGTCCCAGCTCCCGCTCCGCCAACCTAGCGGTTCGAAAGCATGCAAATGCGAGTAGATAAATAGGGACCACCTTGGTGGGAAGGTAACAGCATTCCGTGTCTAAGTCGCAATGGCCATGTGACCATGGAAGATTGTCTTCAGACAAAACACTGGCTCTATGGCTTGGAAACGGGGATGAGCACCGCCCCCTAGAGTCGAACATGACTGGACAGAAATTGTCAAGGGGAACCTTTACCTTTACCTATCAAGGTGAGTGGGCGAGAGAACCCACTACTTAGGATCAGGAGTAGAGATGGGGGTGTTATTTGCATATGAATGTGAATATCTCAGCACAACTGGGCTTAAAAGAGGGGCCGGCCCCTGCAGCTGGCCTGTCCACTCACACGTCCAGTGATGGTGGCAACCTCACTCATCCTTCCAATCGCTCCTGGAGGTCCGTTCTCTTCCCACCCACCCAGCCACTTGTCCTCCTTCCCACTGTCTGGAGTGGCCAGGCAAGCAGGAAGAGAGCAGACCTCCAGGAGCGACTGGAAGGATGAGCGAGGCTGCCACCATCGCCGGACGTGCGAGTGGACAGGCTGGCTACAGGGGCCGGCCCCTCTTTAAGTCCATCTCTGCTGAGATATTCATATTGGGATACAAATACGAACACCCCCCATCTCGAATCTGGAGTAATAGGTGTACATGGCACTCACATGCATCGAGTGGACAGGCCAGCTGCAGGGTAATAGGTGTACATGGCACTCACATGCATTTTTCAAAGAATAATATATTAAATACAGATTCATCACACACACCCTATAGTTTGTTAGTTACTTGAACGTCTTTAAAAGCATAGTGAAATTGAAACAAAACAAAACATCCACAATGGTTCATAATAACCATGTGTCGTCAAGTCAATTCTGACGGAAACTATAGCGATCCTTCCCAAGGTTTTGCAGGTCAAAGTTGTTTACCCTTCCCTTCTTCTGGGAGCGCCCTGGGACTATGCGGCTTGCCCAAAACTAGAGGTGTGAAATTTCTGAAAACATCCATTTTTTCCCCAGAAAAAAAGGCTTGGAAGTGTTTTGTTTATATTTTCTTATTATAAGAACTCTGATTCAGCAGGGAATTTGAATTCCCAACCTCTGGCTCCACAGCCTCAACCACTGAGCTATCCAACCCATGATGGTTAGAAGACCACTGATGTTTTCATGACCTTGCCCTCTGCCAGATCTTGTATTTGTTACTGGGCTCGAAAGAGACATATTCTGTCAGATTTCCTTGGCTAATCATAGAACCACATAATCCCAAGAATCACCTAGCTAAGCCTATCCATGTGGCAAGTCCGCAGAAAAAAAATTTAGCCCAAGCAAACAGCTAGCTAGTGTGAGACTAAAAAGATGTACAAGGGATTCTAAAATTACTCCCATAATCTGGAGTAGGAAAAAGAATCCTCTCATTTTGCTCGTCATAAAAAAAGGTTACTTATTTGAAGACTCAGATAACTCACAATATTTTAAAACATATCTTTAGTTGCTCTTATACCCTCTTTCCTAGACTTTTTCCATCAAATTTTTCCCTCACTCCTGCCGTCCATCCACAGCCGGCCTTCTAAAGAAGCCCTCCCTCCTCACTGTCTATGCTTTGAACCCCAAAATCTCATTACTAATCAGAGCTACAACTCTCTTGAATCCTGCAAAGCAGGGGCAAATGTCTGGCCATTCAGATGTGGTGAACTAGGATTCCTATCATGCCTTGCTATTAGCCAATTTGGCTACAATGACAGGAATCTGGAGATCCACCACATGTACCAGGAAATGTCATTTTTTCCCTAGACTTCCCCTTAAGAATCTTCCATGAGGGAGGTGAGTTGGGATAGACACCATTCTTAGAAGAACTGGTTTGTTTTTATTGAAAGTACAGTGGTGCCTCGCTTAGAGATTGCTTCGTTTAATGATGAAATCGCTTAGCGATGACTTTTTCGGAGCGATCTTGTGCTCCATTTAACAATGGTTCCTATGGGTGATTTTCGCATAGCGATGTTTGGGACCATGCTTCGCATAACGATGACAGTTTGGGTCCCCCTGTTTCACTTAACGATGGTTTTGACAGCCTCATGTTGGCTGTTTTTTAAATGTTTAAAAATGTTTAAAAATGTTTAGAATGCTTGAAATCATAAGTGCACTTAATAAACCCTTTGTTAAACTAATTTGACTTTGTTCCGACTCTTTTTAAATTTGTTGTAATTTCCACACACCCCAATTGAGATGCATTGAATCGGTTTCTATGCATTTCAATTGGGGAACCCTGTTTCGCTTAGTGGTGTTTCCTATGACGATTTTCGCTTAAGGACGGCAATCCGTTCCCATTGGAACGGATTATCCGGTTTTCAATGCATTTCTGTGGGAAACCGTGTTTTGCTTAGCGATGAAATCGCTTAACAGCGATTTTTTGGGAACCAATTATCATCGTTAAGCGAGGCAGCACTGTATGGTTATAACAGCATGTGTAAAGAGAACCTCTGTGACTGACATCTTCAGAGGACAGGAGTCAGAACTCTTGTCTGTTCTGATGTTCTGATGTAGCGTACACCAGAATACTCAACTACACTACGCCAGAACACAGAGTTCTAACTCCTGTCCTCTGCAGATGCCCCAAAGCAGCAGACATGTCCATGAAAGCTCACATCAAATTATAACACAAATGCAATAAGACGGCAATACTTTTATAGACCACTAACAAAAAAGATCATAAGCTTTCCTGAGAAGTATGTTGTTTTTTTTAGTGGTCTATAAAGGTATTCAGCTTTCCTGAGAAGTATGTTGTTTTTTTAGTGGTGTATAAAGGTATTGCTGACGCTTGCATTTGTATTTTATTTTGCATTGACTCCCCCAGGGCTACCTTTTATTTCAATAAAATGTAACCGTGTGCCTTTATTTTCCTTTGGGTCTGGCCTGATCGACTTCCTCCAGCTAGTCAAGAGAGCCTTTTCGCCCCCCAACGCTGGCCCAATTCCTTCAGCACCCCCCCCCAGAAAAGGCTTCAAAAATCCCATCAGTGCATCCTCACTTCCTTGGCAGTAAAAATAAATAAATACCCCCCCAATAGTCCCATTAAAGCGCCATCAGCTGTTCTCGCACCCTAATCCCAAAGAGCAGCATAATAAGGCTGGGGGGAGGGGAGACTCTCCCCTCTGTGATGTTTGGGGGAGGCGGAATTGGGGGGTGGCTCACCTGATGCAGGAGAGAGACGTCGCCCTTGCAGGAACCAAAATCCTCCGGAGGAAGACAAGCAGGGATGTGGGCTGGGAGTGGGGGGGGTGGCCTTGCCTTGCTATGCAGCACTGCCTCCCCCCCTTTTCCAAGGTTCCCCTTCTCTCTAGGCATTCCCGACTCAGTGCATTAACCCCTCACTTGCTAGCTCGGTTGTCTGGCTGGGTCTGGCTCTTTGCTCTGCTTTTTCCCCCCACCTCCTCCTTACCTCCGTTCGCCATTTCCACAACTCGTGCTTTGGACGGACCTGGGGATTTGCAAAGGGTTCCCTTGGATGTCTCACAGCCTTGTGTTGTGGGTGCTTTTTAAAAAAAATATTGGATGACAGCCCTGTTTTCCCCCCACTTACCGAAGCCAAGCCGGTTTCCTTGCAAGGCAAAAATTTTTTATTTATTTTATTTATTTTTATTTATTTATTCGATTTTTACCCCGCCCCTCTAGACAGCGTCTACTCGGGGCGGCTTACATAGGTTAAAACACATTAAAACAGCATATAAATAACATATATAATGCAATTATTATAATAAAGAGTCTGACAAAAAACACAAACCCGTTAAGTATACGATGCAAAGAGAGTTGTCTAAAAACTAGGTTTGTTGGAATTATTGCACCCTCATGGGATGCCTTTAAATGGTTTTAGCTGCGAGGGTCTTTTCTGGACTGGGCTTGCGGTCAGGCAACTCCGAAGCCACCAATTGTTTCCCCTTCTAACTCAGATTCTTTTTCCTGCCTTTTTCCAGCCAGAGTTCAGTTAGTGTTAGATTCTGTCAGAGTCTGAAGAAGACATAGTAAAATGGCTTGTCACCTAGTCAGTAATGAAGCAAACAAGCCAGTTAAGATCATTGATGAAAGAAATAAGCATTTTTGCACAATATGATTTTTGTTTTTATATAAGAAGAGCTGTGAGTAAACTGAAACATTTTATTTCCCCCCCCCTATTATCAGAGTCTCTGAGTGAATGTACAGTATTGAAACAATGAGTGCAAGACCAGTTGAGGTCAACTGACAAACAAGGAGTGGTCGTCAAGAATACAAGGAGTGGTCTACTGATGGATACTGTAGCTCAGTCGGCTCTGTAGGTTCCTGACTGGACCATTTTATCTACTGTATAATTAGATTTAGTTTTAAAAAATGGTGATGTGGTGGCGCTGCGGGCTAAACCACAGAAGCCTGTGCCGCAGGGTCAGAAGACCAGCAGTCGTAAGATCGAATCCATGCAAAGGAGTTAGCTCCTATCGCTTTGTCCCAGCTCCTCGCCAACCTAGCAGTTGTAAAGCATGGAAATGCAAGTAGATAAATAGGTACCACCTCAGTGGGAAGGTAAAACAGCGTTCCCTAGTCACGCTGGCTACGTGACCACGGAAACTGTCTTCAGACAAGCGCTGGCTCTACGGCTTGAAAACGGGATAAGCACCGTCCCCTAGAGTCGGACACGACTGGACTGAAAATGTCAAGGGGAACCTTTACCTTTAAAAAAATTAAAGCAAAATTCTATTTCCTCACACCAAACTGTGCCATCTCAACATCTGCCATGGAGAGAATTCCACTGCATGTTTTCCTTCTCTGTCTCTGTCTTCTGCTCTGCATCCCTTATCATCCAGTGCTCTGTAAATACTGGGTAGCCTTCGATTTACCTCCAGCTTAGGCAGATACCTGTTGTTGGGGTTACTAATTTCTATAGTACATTCAATGTCCTTCACAAAGTACATGAGAACAGATCCCTACTCCCTACATGTGATGTGGTGGCCAGAGAACATGGTCAATTAACAGATTGGCAGGTGTCAAATATCCCAGGTAAAACACATGAGCATCTCTGGTCAAAAGGCTCAGACGTCAGGGGATACAGGACAAGCAATGAGCCGCAGGATCTAAAGCAATGGCTATTAGTGTTCTCCCTTTACCATCTGAGGCCTGAGACTATTATTGTATTATTGCCTATTGGTAGGGCTGTATCTGCAAGGAAGGGAAGGAAAGTAGAAGTAAATATGATCATGGTTTTAAAAATTGTTTTAAGGGAGAGGGGAAAGAAAATCAAAGAAAAAGAGAGGTGTTTAAAATACTGGATACAAAAAGGAAGACCAAGGTGTGAGGATATGGGTTTTGTAGTACTTATTTCCCAGGACCTGCAGGTGTAGATCGTGCCTAGAGACTGTTCTTGTGAAGATGAGCCAAGGTAGTTTCTCAGGATTGACAACCAAAACATTCCTTACTCATGGGCTACCGCCCTAGGATGAGAGAAGGAGATTGGCAAATTACAAGATGGGTGTGGAGTTGCGGACAAAGGACTGTATGCTGACCGGATACGATCATGGGACAGAGACTTTGATTTAAGTTATAGAAGAGGGGGGCTAAGTGAGTTGTTGGTCTGTGAGTGTAGATTGAGCCATGGTAATTTAGAATAGCCAAGCAACTGAATAGTAAAGCTATTAGTAAGTAAGTACTGCATTGTATTGTGTTATAGGAAAGGCTTACATGACCTTATTTAAGAGTGGTAGAATATACCAGATGGGCGGGATATAAATCGAACAAATAAAATAAATAAATAAATAAATAAATAAATAAATAAATAAATAAATAATATATTTGCATTTACCCAGTACAATTGTTGTTGTTTTCAGGGCATTTTCTTTGTTTTAAAATTTTTACTCTTTTAAAATAAATATTTTATATTTTACCCCAGTTTGATTCTTGGGAGCAAGAGTGAGAGTGCCTAAACGAAGCGCCTTGGCCACGAGGCCATCTTTTGCTATATTTGCTATTTGGGTGTCCTACCTGGTAAGACTAGTGTGTAAGGACCAAAGTACACAGCTAAAGAGTTTTAAGCTCAAAGTAGTTGGGAAATCTATGAATCAAATTAAGGTACTTGGGAGTAGAACCTCCATCTGTTAGAAGCAGTATACCTCAGGAAATAAGTTGTAAGATTTATTTTAGAAATTAGAAATAAAATAATAAAGAAAATACTGTATTCTGTTGTGTGCCATATCTGACTTTTGATGATGCTAATAGAATTTTCAAGGTATGTGAAATATTTAAGGAGCTATATACCGTATTTTTTTGTTTATAAGACAACCCAATGTATAATACAACCCCCCCTTTTTTCTAACCCCAAATTAGAAAAAGCAGGGATTGAAGGGCTCCCTTTTTGCGGCTGTTAAAATTACTGCCACATTTCCTTGCCTTTTGAGAAAGCAGGGAGCTTAGCAAAAAGGAAGGGAGCTACATCTCCCCTTCCTTTTTGCTAAGCCCTGTGCCTTTGCAAAAGGCAGTGGTAAAGAGCTGCCTTCCATGTATAAAACAACCCTCATTTTTTTCTCAAATTATTTAAGGAAAAAGTGTCATTTTATACATGGAAAAATATTGTATAATCACCCCTTTGAGTTTCCCCTTTGGCTGAATATGGATTTGAACCCAGGTCTCCTGAGTCCTAATGTGACAATTTACATGAACAAATTACATGTTCATTTTAGTGTCTACATTTTATGGTATTGGGCAAAAATAAAGAGGACAAAAATGTTGTGGCACGTTGAAGACTAATTGCTATATTTTACTGTGAGCTTTCATGAACAGGTCCATTTCCTCAGACATGAGTAGTAGTACTATTAGAAGTAGTAAAAGCAATAGAAATTCCTATTATTATTATTATTATTATTATTATTATTATTATTATTATTATTATTATTATTATTATTATTATTATTATTATTATTATTATTATTATTATTATTATTATTATTATTATTATTATTATTATTATTATTATTATTATTATTATTATTATTATTATTATTATTATTATTATTATTATTATTATTATTATTATTATTATTATTATTATTATTATTATTATTATTATTATTATTATTATTATTATTATTATTATTATTATTATTATTATTATTATTATTATTATTATTATTATTATT